TGTCTCTCCCACTGAGCCACACCCCCAGCCCCTCACTGGAATATTCTAGGCAGCTGCTCTACCATTGAGCCACACTCCGAGCCCATCAGTGGAAGATTCTGGTCAAGCACTCTGAGCCACACCCCCAGCCATTACCTCAGCCCTCTTGCCGTTTTCTCCTCTTTTCCTGTTATTTCCCGCCTCTTCTCAGGTCCAGGAGCGCCTCAAAGCCTTGCAGGCTGAGCTGCACCTGACACTGCAGGTCCTGGAGAACGTGACTGACTCTGCTTTGTACCCCATCCTGGAGCAGCCTCTTCACACCCTGAGCAACATCCACTCTCAGCTGCAGGCCTGTGTGAGTCCTGGGTCGCTGGCTCCTCCACACTGTGCCTCCAGCCACTGGGGCTTCCCCTGTGGCAGCAGTAGGCTCACAGCCCCCTCCTCTGTCCACAGATTCAGCCTGAGCCTGCAGCAGAGCCCAGGCCCCCAAGCCACCGCCTCTCCCGCTGGCTGCACCGGCTCCGGGAGGCCCAGGAGAAGGTGAGTCTGGGGAGGAGACCCGGGGTCTGCAGAGCCTGGGAGCCCTGAGCCCCAGCAGCCCCTGAGCCAGCTCTGTCCTTTCAGGAGACCCCGGGCTGCCTGGAAATCTCTGTCACTTCCAACCTCTTTCGCATGCTCCTCCGGGACCTGCCGTGTGTGGCCCGTGGAGACCAGTGTGCCTGACTTTGGACTCTCCTGCCAGCTGCTGGAATTCAGAGAAGACCAGTGTGCCTGAGTTTAATGGCCTGGCACAGCGCACCCAAGACTCTGAACTCTATACTTGGCCCCTCCCCTACCTTAACTTATTTCCTCTCACCCTTTATTTATGAAGCTGCAGCCCAGGTTTGATGGAGACTGTACTGTGCATGTTTATCTTATTGATTATTGAATAAAATACTGTTTGGCCAATGAGACAGCAAGTTAGGACTAGGAGTCAAAGAGGATTCTGGGAATTGTAGTAGATAAGTGATGATCCAGGCAGGAAGTGATATAGCAAGGAGACTCATATTGAAAGAAGGAGAAACAGGAAGCGTCTCTCTTTTCCCCTCCACTCCTGTTCCAGTGGCACAATGTGATCCACCGGCAAGGAGGGACGCCAATAAGGTGTCGGATAAGATAAGTCTTATAAAATATATAGATGTATGATAATTAAGACTGAGCTAACAGATGAGAATCCTAGTCATTGGCCAAGCATCCTTGTACCTAATACAAGTTTCTGTGTATTCATTTGGGCCTAACTCGGGCTGGCCGATGGCATAAAGCTCACACGTGGCGGTGGGGCTCAGACGGCTTTTGGCGGAAAGATTTATTGAAACACAGGTTGGGTGTATTTTCCTGTTTTTAAACAATATATATGCAAATAAACAGTGTGCGATGCTTGAGTATGTTTATGTGTCTTCTGGGATGTGTATCCAACGGACCACCTCTCTGAATCAACAGCTAACCAAAGATGTGCCATTGTGTGGCTGTCCACATTCACCATGTTTACAAACACGCTTATAAATCCCTCTCTAAGCCAGACGGTGGCGGCACATACCTTTGATCCCAGCACTCGGGAGGCAGAGGCAGGCGGATCTCTGTGAGTTCGAAGCCAGCCTGGTTTACAAGAGCTAATTCCAGGACAGGCTCCAAAGCCACAGAGAAACCCTGTCTCGAAAAACCCAAAAACAAAAACCAACCAACAAACAAAAAAATAAGCCCCTCTCTAGTCTGTAAGGGCAATGTATTTCTCTTTTAAATGTCTCTGGGACAGATGGGGGGGTCTCTCTCATTCAGAATGCTGTCTCCTATAATAAAGAATCAGGAAACCCAATGTGGGGCTGCAGAGGTTGTACAAGGGTGAGAACTTTAGCTCCAATCCCCAGCAAAAAAAACACAGAGCTTTGGAAGTGGACACAGGACAAAGATCCCTGGGGCTAGCTGGCCACTCAGTCTAGCAGTTGCTAAGCTTCAGATTTAGTTATAGACCTTGTCTCAAAAAATAAGGTGGAAGCCGGGCGATGGTGGCACATGCCTTTAATCCCAGCACTCGGGAGGCAGAGGTAGGCGGATCTCTGTGAGTTCGAGGCCACCCTGGTCTCCAGAGCAAGTGCCAGGATAGGCTCCAAAGCCACAGAGAAACCCTGTCTTGGAACAAAACAAAACAAAAAACAAACAAAAAAGATTCATGAGTGAGGCTGGAGAGAAACCTCTATTCTGGACAGTCTGTGCCTGGGAAGATGAATGCAGTTAGACCGACGGCAGAGAGAAGGTGAGGTGGGCAGGGCAACATTCTCCTGACACAGAGTTTACAACTTCCTGTTTGTCTCACAAGACTGCTATTTGGTAGGCCTCCTATCGTGCATTGCTTATAGGGGTGTGTGTGTGTGTGTGTGTGTGTGTGTGTGTGTGTGTGTGTGCATGAGCATGTAGGTGTGTGTGTGTTCGTGTGCCGTGTAGGGGTGTGTGTGCGTGCACCTGGAGGACAAAGGACCTCAGCTGTCATCCCTCAATACCTGACCACCTGGTTTAGTTTTACTTTTATTTTTTTAGTTATTCTCCTGTGGTTTGTCAGTTAGGCTATGCTCGCTGTACAGTGAGTCCCAGAGATCCTCCTACTAATTTTGCCTCACTGGCTGGGACTGGACTGACTTCCCCCCACTCCACAACACAATGGGTTCTGGAGAATCGAACGCAGGTCCTCATACGTGTGAGACTAGCACGTTACCACCTGAGCCAGCCATCTCTCCAGCCCCAAGAGTGTATTGCTTCTGTCATCAAAATATGGAAATATATAAGTTGGAAGTCAGACAGGACTACACCGTGGAACTCGGGGAGGGAGGGAGGGAGAGAGAGAGAGAGAGAGAGAGAGAGAGAGAGGATATGCTCTGGAGCTAGTTGATAAAATCACAATTTCCTCCAAGATCCTGTGGAACTGTGGGGTATGGTGAAGTGGGGAGCTGAGGGGCTGGACCGATAACTTAGCTGTTAAAAGCCCTTGCTGTTCTTGCAGAGGACCCAAGTTCAGTTCCAGGACCCATAACAGGCAGCTCACAGCTGCCCGGAACTGAATCTCCAAGGGATCCAACATCTCTGGCCTCTGTGAGTTCCAGGCCAGCCTGGTCTACATAGTAAGTTCCAGGACAGCCAAGGTTGTGCTGAAAGACCCTGTTTCAAAAGCAAAAAATAAATAAATAAATAAATAAATAAATAAATAAATAAATAAAATAAAAATTGATATAAAGATAGATGGATGGATAGATGATGGATGGATGGGTGGATGGATGGGAAGATGATGGATGATGGATGGATGATGGATGGATGGGTAGATGATGGATGGATGATGGATGGATGGGTAGATGGATAGGTAGATGATAGATAGATAGATAGATAGATAGGTAGGTAGGTAGATGGAGATAGAGAGGTAGATATAGATATGTAGATGGATGACAGATAGATTAGAGAGAGAGAGAGATAGGTGATAAAGAGCTGGTGAGATGGTTCAGCGGGTAAAGGCATTTGTCACTAAGCTTGACGGCCTAAATTCAATCCCAGGAACCCACAAGGTGGAAAGGAAAGAAATAATAATGCAAATTGTCCTTTGCTTTCCACAGGCACCACATGCATACACAATGGATGGATGGATGAATGAATGAATGTAGCTTAAGAAAGAAAACACATGGGCTGGAGAGATGGCTCAGAGGTTAAGAGCACTGGCTTCTCTTCCAGAGGTCTTGAGTTCAATTCCCAGCAAATACATGGTCACAGAATGGGAAAAGATATTCACCAACCCCACATCTGACAGAGGGTTGTGCCCTCTTCTGGTGTGCAGGTAGACATGGAAGCAGAATGTTGTATACATAATAAATAAATAAATTAAATAAATAAATAAGTAATCTTTAAAAAAAGAAAGAAAGAAAAAACAAGTACAGTGGCTCATGCCTATAACCCCAGCAGTTTGGAGGTAGAGACAGAAGGATCATGAATTTAAGGCCATCCTTGGCTACATAAGATCTTGTCTAAACACCTGGCATGGTTTAATCCCAGTGTTTTTCGAGGCAGAGGCAGGTGGATTTCTGTGAGTTCAAGTCTAATCTGGTCTATGTAGGAAACTCTAGGTCAGCCAGGGTTACATAGAAAGACACTGGGGGTGGGGTGGGGGAATGGCAAGAAAAAGCCAGCTAATATGTTTTAAATATTTCAAACATTCTACTGTGGAGCTGGAGAGAAAGCTTAATATTTAGGAGCACCAGCTGCTCTTCCGGAGGATCCAAGTTCAATTCCCAGTGCATACACTCAATTATGTCACCTGGATACATGTGGAGTCTAGGGGTTTGTCATAGACCTGTTTTCCATGGGTTTTCTTCTACCTTCCTCTGGATGATCATTTTAAATCCTATGCTTAGTGCTGTATGGTCACAAAATGGCAACAGAAACTGCAAGTCTCTTATCCTCATACCAATAAATTAAGCAGGAAGGAAGAGAACCAATGAAAAAGTCTTTTCTGTTTTATATTGGGGAGGAAAAAAATTAGCCCAGGCTGGCCTCAAACTTACTACTATGTAGCAAAGAATGACAAACTTCTGATCCTCCTGCCTCAGCCTCCCCAGTGCTGGGATTATAGACATGTTCCACCAGGACCATTTCTTTCTGCCCAGCCACTTGTTTATTTGTTTGTATATTTGTTTATTTGTGTTTCGAGACAGGGTTTCTCTGGGTAACAGCCCTGGCTGTGTTAGAATGCTCTCAAACTCCCAGAGATCTTCCTGTCTCTGCCTCCAGATTGCTGGGATTAAAGGTGTGCGCCACCACCACCCGGCTTGTGGCATTTCTTACTGTATCATCAGGTGGCCTGGAATTTGAGACCCTTGTGCCTCTGTCTCCCAAGTGCTGGATTGCAGCATGTGCCACCATGCCTAGCAGTTGGTCTATTTTAGTCATTGCTAAAGCTGCTACACTGGAGCAGGCATATGGTCGATGCTCAGTAAAGCTTATCCATCAATGAGTTGCAGGGCAACCAGAGTTACATATTGTAAACCTGCTTCTTTCGGAGGTAATGACCTTTCATGAGTGTGATGTGTAGTGCCCTGGGTTCTATGCTCTACTCATTCACACATTAGGCAAGATGTGTGAGCACAGGGTCCAGCTGGTGGGAGCACTTTGCACCTAGGTATCATTGCGAGTAACATGTATATTGGGCCAGTGGGTGAGGGATCCACCTGGCCTGGAATTCTCCAAAGCTGCTGTCCTTGCTGCCTCCCACCCTCTCTGCTCAGACCAGCTTCCTCCCTCTGGCTCTGTTTCTATTTCTGTCTTGCTCTCCTCCTCCCCAGGCCTCAGGGGGCCCCTGGCTGACTTGAAGCCTTCCTTTTTCCCCGGGATTAGGAAGGAGTTTTCATGGCCAAGTATCTGCAAGGACTGAGGTGCCCAGAGCCCCACCACCCTAACACCTTTGCCTCCCCAGGAAAGTCCTCAGTCCTTAGAGAGCCCCTCCCCCACCACCCTCCACTGCTTCCAGCATCCTGGCTCCACTCACCATCCATCATGCTCACACAGGTAAGCTGCCTTTGGAGACCCAAGCTCAGCTAGGGTCATTGAAGCCATTCCCCAGCCTCCAGACACAGATCCAGAGGCAAACTGCCAATTCCAATCTTCTTCATGGGAAGCAAGCCAGGGTAGAGCCCTCTGACAAGAGACTTCCCTTCCCTCTGGGGTCTGACCTCTGTCTATAAAATAGGACCATGGATATCTGTCAATCCTACACAATGTGGGCGGGCAGCCAGGAGGGGCAGAAACTGTCCAGTTGAAAGGGCTTAAAGTTGAGGATGGGTCAGAAGTTGCCTTTTACTATTATTGATGTTTGCAGGTTTGAGGCAGTGTCTGACTATGCTGCTCAGGCTGGCCTTAAACTCCTGGGCTCAAGCAATCATCCTGCTCTAGCCCCCTGAGTAGCTGGGAATCCAGTTGTGTCATCTTGCCCAAATCCATCTGCCTTTTTATTTTTTACTTATTTTGTTGGCCAAACCAAAACAACAACAACAACACCAAAAAACAGGATCTCATGTAGCCCATGCCAGTCTCAAAACGCTGCATGTAGAAGATGATAGTCTTACTTTTTACTCTTTTTGTTTGTTTGTTTTCCGAGACAGGGTTTCTCTGTAGCTTTGGAGGCTGTCCTGGAACTCACTCTGTAGACCAGGCTGGCCTCGAACTCACAGAGATCCGCCTGCCTCTGCCTCCCAAGTGCTGGGATTAAAGGCATGCACTACCACTGCCCGGCTCAAATTTTTACTCTTAAAAATAAATTATTTAAGTGTGCATGCCTCTGCACCACACACATGCCCACAGAAGCCAGAAGAGGGCATGGGATCCCCTGGAACTGGGTGGGGAGCTGCCAATGTGAGTATTGGGAGTCAAACCTGGGTCCTCCATAACAGCAGCCAGTGCTCTTAACCACTGAGCCATCTCTCCAGCCCATAGCCTTGAACTTTAAAGACATCTTTTATTGCATTTATTCATTAGTTTTGTTGGAGTGCACATGTGCTATGGCTCATGGGTCCCAGGGACCAAGTTCCGGTTTTCAGGCTCCATGGCAAGTGTCTACTCATTGAGCCAACTTGCCAGCCCAGTCTTGAGGTTCTGACTCTCCTGCTTCTACCATCCGGGATTACAGGCGTTCTCCGACATGCCCAATTTCTACCCATGCTGTTAAGTCTATTTTCCCAGAACACATACCCATAAAACTGGCACTCCAGAGGCTAAGGGAGGATGGTTGAAAGTTCAAGGCCAGCCTTAGCTACCTATATCAAGATCCTGTCTCAAAAAAAAAAAAAAAAAAAAAAAAAAAAAAAAAAAAAAAAAAGGGGGGTGTGAAAAAAAAAAAAAAAAAAAAAAAAAAAAAAAAAAAAAAAAAAGGTGCTGTTTGTGGTGTTACATGCATATAATCTCTGCACTCTGGAGGAAGAGACAGGACTGCCACAAGTTTGAAGCCAGTCTGAGACTGGGCATGGTAGTGCAAACCCACAATCCCAGCATTTGATAGAGGCAGAAAAATCACAGAAAGTTGGAAGGCTAGCCCAGTGCTCCATAGAGAGATCCTGTCAAAAACAACTACACACACATAAACATACACACACACTCATGTATCCATGTATTTATAGGTGTGTGTATATGTGCCTGAGATGTCTCGGTGGGTAAAAGTGTTTGTCATGCAAACATGGGGATCTGAGCTAAGACCCCAACACTCACATAAATAACATTCATAAATCCAGTGCTGGAGGCAGAAATGGATATTGGAGAACCCTGGAGTTCAATGGACAGCCAGTCTAGCCAAATTGATGAACTCCTGTGAGACTGCCTCAAAAAATAAGGTGGGGAATGACAAGGGAAGACAGCTAAAATGTACCTCTGACCCTCCCCCCCACACACATATGGATGAGTGCAACAGCACACACATGTACACACCACACACACACACACCCACACACACACACACACACACACCAAATAAGTAAATACTATGTGGAATTACTTTTTCATTGTTTTGAGACAGTCTTACTATGTAGCCCTGGCTGGTCTGGAACTCACTCTGTAGACCAGGCTGGCCTCAAGATTACAGAGATCCGCCAACCTCTGCCTCCCAAATTCTGGGATTAAAGGTGAGGGCTACCATGCCCAGCTGAAAATTACCATTAACTAAACGAATCCCCATTTTCAGCCCTTCTGGTTATGCCGGGACATGTCATCTAAGCCTGCTGGCTTCAGTGTCCTCCCCTGTAGAGTGAGCTAACAGTACCTGAACCCTAGGGTTATTGTGAGGATTGGATGATTTAAGGGTTACCCACACCCGTCAGTCATTCTTGGTTTTGCTACTTCCCACCTCTGCCTGCCAGTTTCTCAGTCCTCACTGTCACACACACACACACACACACACACACACACACACACACACACACACACACAGGTCAGCAGAGCCGCCTCAGACACAGAAAAAAGTTTAATTCTGCTGCGGCGGAGGGTCCCGGCTCCGATAGAGAGGGATTTGGTTTTTGGATTTTGTCTGTGTGGGGATTCATTGTGGGGACGAGGCAGAGGGAAGAATCTGGTCCTTCAGTGGGACCTGCCCGGTGATGGTGAGGAGAGGGAGTCGGGAGGGACAAAGACACAGGACAAAAAAAAAAGGGGGGGGGGATAATAAAGGAGAAAAGAAGACCATGGGACAGAGAAGAGGGAGACGAGTAAGGAAAAAACGGAAGACAGACCACAGTGGGCAGGAAAGACGCGGACACAGAGAGGAGAAAGGAGGAGCCCCTCCCTCCAAACCAGACTAGGTGGGACCAGGGAGGGGGCTGGGGTTGAGGGGACTGGAGGCTTTGGAGGCCGCCGCGGGGCAGAAAGAGATCTAGTCCAGCCAGATACAAGGAATGGGCCCCTCGGCCCTGCCCCAGGGTCCCGGGTTGGGGAGGGGACTCGTGTCTTAAAGCTGCAGTGTGGGGGGGCCCCGCCCCTCCCCGCGCTTC